ATTGAAAAACTCTTCGTTACATTCTGTAATACCATCTCCGACCTACTCTTGCCCTCTGTTGCCACCCAGTCACTCCTCTCTTCTGGTTTGACACAAGCTGGTAGTACCCCTGTGAGCCTCCCTGCTCACGGCCTACTTCACCGCCGGCGACCTTCACTACTGGGCCTGCCCTGGTGTGTCCTACTGCCCCTGAGCAAAGTCTTGCCTCATCTTCACGACACGTGGTGCCTCAACCTGTCCTCCACCCACAACAAGCCGTGCCCTCTACTGTGTCTGTTCTGTCTCCACCAGGGCTACCTATTGGACCCGAGGACACCACCCCCGGCTACCCGTACCCCGCCGGCAAGTCGACGCACACGCCATCACAATCACACTAAAAGGTATGTCCCTCAATATTGTCAATGCCTATGTGCCTCCCTCCACCGCTACTGTACCTGTCCTACCACACCATATCACCTCCACCCCCACTGTACTTCGCCACGCCTAGTACATTGGCAACCCTGAGCCTGGCAGCACTGTTTGTGAACTTTGTGGTCAACCCGACTCTCACACCCTCGCTCACTACATCCTCACTTGCCCTATGACCTCCTCCTACAGGTCCCCAGCCGTTACCAACACCTCTTCCCTCCCTAACCAGATATCCTTCCTCCAAGGGACAGGCCTGGCACTTGACATTATTAGGGACCTGCCACACTTTGCCATAAACAGATAAATTGTACCGGGAATTTTCCCCCACACACTCATCATTCTGTCACTTTATGACCCTTCAGGCTTTTATGCCCTTAATGCATGAGTCATAAAGGCAAGCATGAACTCAACATGCTTCCCAGATGGGCGCTGTAAACGCTTCTGCGCTTCACCTTGCACAGGATGTAAGGGGGTGCCCAATAAACTAGCCCCTTCGGAGGCAATCTAAAAAAAATCTAAAAGACGGCGATAGCAAGTGTTGAACAGTCTTAGCATTGGGACAGTTACAGAGTTTACAGGAAGAGAAGTGCGGGTCATTCCCCGCCTTACATACTTGCCAGATAAGTCTGCATCCTAACCCAATGCGACAGAGACAGCATTATGTCCACGTCGACGATGCTTATGTGGATAAGGAAGAGTGATCATAGTGTTGGACAGATATACTTTCAGCCCATTCACTATGCCTGTGATAGATTGTTGGGAGAAGAGTGGTTGAACATATTCTCTTTCGGTAGCAGAGGAAGGAGGGTGTAGCCCCAGCACCAGGGAGGTTCTAATGACATGAGAATAATGGGGGGGGGGGGCAAGGTGGGGAGAGAGAAGACATTTGACACTGAAGCAGGAGACATGAGCGTATATTCTCTCAACAAGGGAAGGAAGGTTGAGTTCAGTATACATGTTGACTATCCTGGTGGAGGTGGAAGAACCCAGGATAAATCTCATGACTGTTTTGAAACTTTTCAGGGGGATCTAGAGATTTTTTGGAGAGTTGATATAGAGCAGAAGGAAGGTAGTCAACAACAGATTGGTTAAACATAATGTAAACAGTTCTGGCTTCAGGGATAAAATTCCCAGAAGCATTGTTGGGGAGCCACATAAAGAGGGGTTAGATGCTGTTGCAGTCGATCTATGAGGTCCCGAACGATGGGATGGACATGTTGTCATACAGGTGTAGCTGGAGTAATCCGTACAGGTGCACCCAGGTAGATGTACTACATACACGAAAGGATAACACTGTCTCCCACAAGGAATTCTGGGAGTGTCCCCGGGTTGCAATGAGAGAAGATCTTATTCCTGTCTGGGGAGAGGATGAGACAACAAGCCGAAGATAACGCTGAGAATGAGTTGAAGAGGGTTGAAGATCTTCCGGCGACTCCGAGTGAATGCAGATACCTGTATAACAGTTAACTGTGGTACTGGGAATGTCAGGGAAAAAATAAAGTCGGCAATGCATAAGGACATTAAAAAGAAGTACCAAGATTGAAGTGTTTTGTGGAGCTACAGGTCTCTTTTAAAGAAGACATGGGAGGTTCTGTTCCGGAGATATCCACGAATCCATCTTAAGAAATTACCTTAACACTGAGGCTACTGGTTGATTGAGGATAATATCAAAGGCTTTTAATAAAGGTCGATGAAGGCTACGACACTCATGGGGGAGACGCAAGTATAGAGTTCCATGAGACAGTGATGCATTCCCTGTTGTGGTAAGAAACCATACAAGCTGGGTGAGAGTTTGTCCTCCAGCTGAAACATGGGACAGGTAAGGAGAATGTGTTCCATCACCTTGCTGAAGCAAGAGGTGAGGGAAATGGGTCTGAATTTGGAAGTGTCACATTTTGGAATGGGTATTATTGTGCTAGAGGTCCAGGCATTGGGTACATACCCCGTGTGGAGACAGAGATTGTAAAGCAGGAGGGGGAGGAGGTTGCCGAGGACTTTCAGGAGGAGAATTGAGTAGGTGACATCTTTATCACTGGGGGCTGTTGCCTTACCCCGAATGAGGGCACTGCGGAGTTCCTCCATAGTTATCTCCGTATCTTCTTCATCGGCCTTCAGCAATGGTGCCATGATACGGAGGACGTGGAGATTTGACTGGGAGGTGAGGTCCTCTTGAATGTGCTCCGGGAGATTATGGGCTTGGGATTGTTCAGACCGTGTTTCAATAAGTTCTTGTGCGTACTCTGCAGAGCTGTGGTGAAGGGAACTAGAGGACTTTTTCTTGACCACCTTGTTATGAGGTGCTACATGACCCCCCCCCCCCACACACTCGCCTTTTTTCCTGCCTGTAGGATACGTTGATCAAGGGTCCAGGCATAGTCTTCGTAGTGACGTTTGATGTGTGGCCAAGAAACATAGTGACTGGAAGTTATATGTGGAGTTCACCAGGGAGGAGAATAATTTCTCTGGCGACTCTAAATCGAATGTGTGGAGGTTAAACATGTACGAGGTGTAGGTAGGGCAGTACTTGGAAGGGATGATAACACAGGTACAACTCTGGGTAAGGAGTGGTCCAGCTGGGAGTGAGTAATGGAGTCTGAGGCGACGTGGTCGGATGTAAAGATGTGATCAGGAGTAACTCCTGAGAGTGGCATCACCAATATCCCAGGGAAATAGAAGACGAATCCCATTTTGGTTGGGATTAGGAGAGAGGTTCCCAAGCTCAGGGTGTCAAACATTGAAATCTTCCATGTAGATCATGCCAAAGATTGGAGGAGTAGGGAAGAGAGAGATTTATCCTGACGGGCTGGGTAGACATAAATACATAAACGTATCTTGGCTTCACCCACTGCTATCTCAAAAAGCTGGAAGGTCATATTGTCATCCTCAGCGCAGCAAAGAAGTCGATGTGGTATGGAGGAGCAGGCATAGCTGATGAGACCATTACTGGCAAGATGAACAAAGGGAATGTAGCCAGTAAGTGGATGATGGTGAGAAACATAACCTTTTAGTGCAGCCAGTTTTGTATTGTTTCTGATTCCATAGGCATTTCATGAGATAATGTGAAGTGGTATCTGGTTATCGAACTTGACGTTTACCGACATGATGACCTGTTGAGTTTCACAAGAGGGGCAAGAGTGTTTTCAGTACTGTATTGGTATGCCTGCTTCCCAGACCACCAATGCAAGTTTCAATGGCAAGTGAGGTATACTGAGACATCGAAGAGTTGACAGCATCACGGAGGGCAAGAACTTCGACGGAATCGGGAATAGTAGCGGTGACAGGTGGTGTGGCGCCCTGTGGCAAAGATGCGGGTGCACAAGGACCCCACCAGCGACACATCAGGCGGCATTGGTGGCGAGGCTGGAGCGGTGGACTGGTGTCTTGTGCAACCGTGTCAGCGTGCCAGACATTGACTCCTCGTTCATGGCAGAGAGGCATTTTCCATGAGAGGTATAAGATGCAGATGAGAGTGGTACCGGTAGCCTCGAGGTAGAGGCATCGGAGGTAATGGGTGGTGAAGGGATCCGGTAAGGGCAGGAATGAGAGTCGGGTCTCAGCACACCAGGCACAATTCTCTGGAGCATAGCAGTAATGGGATATATGACTGATTCCCCAGCACCTGAAGCACCATGGTTGTTTGGTCTTCATTCTGCGTAGTTCACAGAATGGGAGACATGGGAAGAAGCCTGGTGTGTGGGATGGGGGTCTGGAAGACTCCAGACAACAAGCCAGTTGATGGGTTTACCATTCTGATGGAATTGACAGGACAAGCAGAGTGGATACTGGGAATTTCTTTGGCAAGGGAAAGATCAATGCACATAGGATAGTGAGTGAGCAGGTAGCTAGGGAATTTGTGAGGCCTGTTGGGTGAATCCTGAACATTGAAGAGCAGGGACAGGAACTCGCCAGTCTTAACCTTATCTATGATGTCTGTGTATCATCTAGAGATGTAGATGAAGCAAGAGGTAACAGCAGACATTTTGACCCCAGCAAAGTCCTAGTCCAGGTGAAAGGTCCTGGTGACCTCGGCTAGCCAGCATATTTTTGTATAAATGGAGGGGTTTCCTTTGAATAGGTGTTTCATGGAGTCTGCTCAGGGAGCAAAAGTCGGATGTAAAGGAGCGAGCTGGGAAGCAGCCAGAGAGGAAGTGGCCCTAGAGATGTGCTTAGAAACTGTTTGTGGTCAGGTAGGTTGCATGTTCCCGGTCTGGGGGCTTCTTGTGCTGAAGTGCAAGAGAGAGGAAGTGGCCCTAGAGATGTGCTTAGAAACTGTATGTGGTCAGGTGGGTTGCGTGTTCCCGGTCTGGGGGCTTCCTGTGCTGAAGTGCAAGAGGGTTGATATGAAGGAGCCACGTGTTGAGAAGCAGAAGCCTCTGTATTCTTGGGGGTTTGGGGGGCAGGAAATGGAGATTCTCTGTCACTGTCTGAAGTGGACTCCAAGGGGCATTTGGTGGTTAGAGGCCTGGTGGCTAAGCAAAGCAGGAGGGGGCCAAACTTCCCCAGAGGGCTTATCCTTGTCACTTAGCGCTAGGTCGGCCTCCAGGTTGACAAGGGTGGCGGGTCCAGAGTACTCCATAATGCCCTTGGACACCATGACGGGAAGAACTCAGAGTGGTGGCGACAACGTCACCACAGCGTCACTGCCCTCTCACAGTGCTGGAGTAGGGTAGAGGTGTTGGGGGTGGTTGGGTAGTTTGGTAAATAAGTCACTACCACGTCACACTCTTCGCACTGTGCATTCACAGATGCGAAAACAACCAACCAAAGGGTCCAGGCAGAAAGTCCAGATATTTTATCTAAAATTCTAAGTCCAGAAACTTGAAATTTCATAAGTGACACTGTGCTGATAACTGGGTCTTACTGTAGTTCTCTGCGCAGACTAGAGGTAAGCGAATCACTAGATTTGTCAGAATTGATGTTTCACAGTGCACATGTATGTCATCATCTGATATCACTCGGTACAGTATGTAATTTAACACGTGAATCATCGCTCTACAACTGGTCGTATTTATTACTACCTCGTCTCTTCGTAATATATATATATATATATATATATATATATATATATATATATATATATATATATATATATATATATATATATATATATATATATATATATATATATATATATACAGTGGGTATGCTATAACGAAAAGGATCCTACTGCGAATATTCCTATAACAACGGTTTTACCTATAAAATTGAGAATGCTATAACGAACGAAACTCCTACAACAAACATTATTTAAAAAAGATTTTTTTTTTTTACTAATTATTGTTTTTTAACAAGTATTAATGATATTCTTTATTTCAGGGGTTTAGATGCATACACTTTTATAATTTTAATTTTTATTATATTTTCAGTGTTAAGTGGTTGTATTTGGGGCCTGGAGCGGATTAATCCTTTATGAACGAATGCTATAACGAACAAGGTTCTAGAACCAATTGAATTTAGATATATATATATATAATATATATATATATATATATATATATATATATATATATATATATATATATATATATATATATATATATATATATATATATATATATATATATATATATATATATACATACAGTAGTACCTGATTTACGGTCAATTGAACCCACAGGGTACCACGTTAAGTGAAATCGCGTAAATGGAACAACAGAACATGGGATTAATTCCAATAGAGACTGGCCCGACCCCCAAACTCCACTTTTTCGACACAATACCTATGTTGTAGTAAAAATAACATCTAAATTTTATGATGGTATGCTCACACAATTAATATTTAAAGAAATACAGTTGCCAGGTTAATGTCCATTCAAATAATAGACTCAAATCCCCCTCTTCCCAGCTCACTGGCCCTACCTCTCTGAGAAATGATTGGGTGAAACACTAGATTTTAACGTTTAGTAATAAATAATACCTCAGACTAAAGTTAGGATAATATAATTGACATTTCTGGATTCCTTGCAGGTCAGGAATATTTTTGAATGTAAACTTCATATATTTTGCACAAAAGATATAATACTTGCTTTGTGTAAACAAATTATTACATTAGATCTAAAATTTGTATGTCTAATGCAAAATCCATGATGTTTATATTCAAAATGATCATCATATTGTAAGAATTCAGCAATGTAAATTATATTCTGGTCAGTAATTTGTATGAATTGTATGAGCTAAAACAAATATCTTCAGTTAATAAAAAAATATTCTTCACGACACTATCTGTCAATCAAAACTAACCCACTCCACCCTCTTCCAACCGCGCCAGATGGTCGGTCGGTCCCAACCCTCCACACCCCACCTTCCTCCTACCAGAGAAATGTTGGGTGAAAAACTAATTTTAACTTTTAGTAACAAATAATACCTCAGGCTAAAGTTAGGATAATATTTGACATTGCTGGATTCCTTGTAAGACCAGGAACATTTTCAATATAAATGTCATATATTTTGCACAAAGATAACATATTTACTCAGAGTAAACATTACATCTAAAATTTGTATGTCTAATGCAAAATCTGTGATGTTTATATTCAAAATGATCATCAAATTGTAAGAATTCCAGCAATGTAAATTATATTCTGGCCGGGTAATTTGTATGAATTTTATGAGCTAAAACAAATATCTTCAGTTAATAAAAAAAAAAATATTCTTCAGTTAATAAAAAAAAAAATATTCTTCACACCGTGCCAGATGGTCGGTCGGTTCCTCCCTACCATGATAAATGTGTGGGAAAACCAGAATATTTACCTTTTTAGTAATAAATAATACCTCAGACTAAAGTTAGGCTAATATAATTGACATTGCTGGATTCCTTGTAAGACCAGGAATATTTTGAATATAAATGTCATATATTTGCACAAAAGATAACATATTTACTCAGAGTAAACATTACATAATTTGTATGTCTAATGCAAATCTATGATGTTTTTTCAAAATGATCATCAAATTGTAAGAATTCCAGCAATGTAAATTATATTCTAGGGTAATTTGTATGAATTTTATGAGCTAAAAAAAAAAAATTATACTTCCGCGTATATGGGTAGATGAACCACGTAAAGTGAAAGTTAGGTTCTGTGGGGCACGTATGTGAAATCGTAAAGTGAAACGCGTAAGCGAGGTACAACTGTATATATATATATATATATATATATATATATATATATATATATATATATATATATATATATATATATATATATATATATATATATATATATATATATATATATATATATATATATATATATATATATATATATATATATATATATATATATATATATATATATATATATATATATATATATATATATATATAACAGATTTTTTCACATATCCGTGAGGTATCATCTCGAGATGCTATTTTTAGATTTGCCCCACCCGCCACCTGCCTGACTGCCTGTTTTAGCTCATAAAATTCATACTTACCGCCAAATTTAATTTACATTGCTGGTCTTATAATTTAGTGATCATTTGAATAAACATCATATATTTGCATTAGACATACTAAATTTAGATAAAACTCAGAGTAACTATGTTATCGTGCAAATACATTATATTCAAAATATTCCTGGTCTTAAGGAATCCAGCTGTCTAACTTTAGTTTGAGGTATTATTTATTAAAATTTAGTGGTTATCCCACACATCTCCTTGGGACGGTTGGTGGGGGGGAGGGAGGGACCGACCGACCATCTGTTACCCCGTGAAGAATTATTTATTTTTTTATTAACTGAAGATATTTGTTTTAGCTCATAAAATTCATACAAATTACCCGGTCAGAATATAATTTACATTGCTGGAATTCTTATAATTTGATGATCATTTTGAATATAAACACCATATATTTTGCATTAAACATACAATTTTTAGATAAAAATTTTTCTCTAGGTAACTATGTTATCTTTTGTGCAAAATATATGACATTTATATTCAAAATATTCCTGGTCTTACAAGGAATCCAGCAATGTCAATTATATTATCCTAACTTTAATCTGAGGTATTATTTAATACTAAATGTTAAAAACTCTGGAAGGGAGGATTGGTGGGGGGTGGGGGGGAGGGTTGGGACTGACCGCGCGGTTGGAAGAGGGGGGGAGGCAAGGTGGGGTACTTTGATTGACAGATAGTGTCGTGAAGATTATTTTTTTTTTTATTAACTGAAGATATTTGTTTTAGCTCATAAAATTCATACAAATTACCCGGTCAGAATATAATTTACTATTTTTTTTTTTATTAACTGAAGATATTTGTTTTAGCTCATAAAATTCATACAAATTACCCGGTCAGAATATAATTTACATTGCTGGAATTCTTATAATTTGGTGATCATTTTGAATATAAACATCATATATTTTGCATTAAACATACAAATTTTAGATAAAATTTTTCTCTAGGTAACTATGTTATCTTTTGTACAAAATATATGACATTTATATTCAAAATATTCCTGGTCTTACAAGGAATCCAGCAATGTCAATTGTATTATCCTAAATTTAGTTTGAGGTATTATTTTATAAAATTTAGTGGTTTTCCCCCAAAAATTTCTCTGAGAGGGAAGAGCCGGCAGTGTAGTGTGAGAGGGGGAGGGAGTCGAGTCCATTATTTGAATGGACATTAACTTGGCGACTGTATTTCTCTATTTCTCTTAAGTATTAATTGTGTGCATGTACCATCATAAAATTAAGATGTTATTTTTACTACAACATAGGTATGTGCCTTCAAAAAGTGGAGTTGGGGGTCGGGCCGTTTCTATTGGAATTAATCCTATATGTTGTTCACTTAATCATGATTTCAATTTAACGCGACCTCTGGGGTTCAATTCACCTGGACTGCTAAGGGTATAATCAGATATATATATATATATATATATATATATATATATATATATATATATATATATATATATATTTTTTTTTTTTTTTTTTTTCATTTACCCAATAAACACGTGCTGACTTCTAATAATCAATACTATTCGCCAGGATTCTATCTCTCATTTAGCATGATCAGACCAGAACGCTACACAGCCTGTTCAACGAGCTTATGGCGCCGTGAACCTCTAATGGGGAAGTCCGCGTGTTTATTGAGCTAGTGAAATATATATGGATCCTCGTGTTTCGAAGCCGGATTTGGTAAAACGTTACTCTGACCACCTACGTGATACGGGTAATCCCCATTAGAGGTTCACGGCGCCATAAGCTCATTGAACAGGCTTTGTGTGAAATACAACAGAGTCTAGGACTGCTTTTAGTATCCTGGTGGTCCAGCGGTTCGCGTTCCCCGGTCACAGTCATGTGCTCGTGGGCCGTGGGTTCGAATCCTGTCGGGTTGAGGTGTTGATTGTATATATATATGTATATATATATATATATATATATATATATATATATATATATATATATATATATATATATATATATATATATATATATATATATATATATATATATATATATATATATATATATATATATCTCACCAACCTGGCATTGTCGTTGTTGGTAAGTAAAATTTTTGCATTTAACTTTGCAATTTTAAACGGAAGCTTTTGCATTCTGCTTGTGGTTTAATTATTGTCCATTGATGCAACCTTGCAGTGGGGAAGGGGAGGAGGGGGTGTTGATATGCTACCGTCCAATTCATATTGGTTAGCATGATTAGACAAAATATTATTCGATTATATCTGGGGTAGAGCAGTCGAATTTTGTCATATCTTTTGTGTATTTTTGGAGTCTGATTAGATCCTCAAGGTGTTAAGTAGATTTTTGCTGCCATTTTGGGATGAGGGTCTCACCAATACAACTATTGTTTTCTGATCATCTATTTCTCATCATCTATCAGTTACTGTACTTTGCTCTCAATATAAACTACTACTTTTTTTTTATATATATATACTGTACAGTCAGTTCTGCTATAACGCGATAGTTGTGTTCTTGTAAAACATCGTGTTATAGAAATTCGCATAATAGAAATAACAGGGCTTATGGAGAAAATAGGGTTAGGTGCAGATTACTACTAGAAAATAAAAAAAAATTTAGTAGTTAGCCTAACACAAAGGATAGCACAGTCTAAATAAATGTTTCATTCATATCTAATAATGAAATCATACTGTAAATGTAACACTTTACCTTGAAAAAATATGAATATAACTTGATGGGGGAGAAGGGTGATTTTGAGGTTGATAACATCGAGCTTCTCTTCAAGGGTTATAGCCTTTCTTTTACGATCATCACCGGGAATGCGATCACCAGAACGCTTCTTGGAGATATTCTTCTTTACCATATTCACAGTTAATACCACAAAATTGGAGAAATAGTAAGCAAAAATCGCGTTACAGCAAACAAGCGTTCGCGTTATACAAATATCGTTCCTCTATTTATAAATCGCGTTAGAGCCCATTCGCGTTGTCAAAACACGTGTTATAGCAGAACTCACTGTAGCTTCATTAATTTAATTTTTGGCTCCCTGACTGGTATATATTTTTTCAACACCTTTTCATGAGGAGTTTAATTTATTATTCAGTGCCATGCTTGCTACAAATCATATAAAGTTATTCAGTGAATACTATTACAGTACTGTACTGTATTGAAGTTAAGCTAGAATTTTGTACATAAAGTACTGTATTATGATAATGTACTGTACTGTACTACCTATTCATTTTGACAATGAATAACATCCTTAACTTGTAATGAGTGTGAAAACTTAAATTAGTTTTTTTTCATGTTTGCAGGTAACACATGACCACAATGATCTTCAGAAAGAGGAACAGAACATCATATGTGGCGCCCTGGAGCTGCACAAGAAGACTGTTGGAGAGGTTATGACCAAACTCGATGATGTCTTTATGCTTAATGTTGACACCATTCTAGACTTTAATTCCATCAATGACATAATGCAGCAAGGTAAATAGCACAAAAAACAAAAGTTTTAACACAAAAACCACACTGTATAACAAAAACCAAAAATCACCTCTGGAAAATCACACATTCTGAGTAATTAACATTAAAAAGCCTATTAAATTTCTCCAAGAGTCATGAAGAAAAGTATACCGGTATACCAAATATTTTTTTTTCTTCTTTTTATCACAGATCCTTAATCAGCTTGTGGAGGACTATTATACCCATTACCTTTGTATACTGGCCTGAAACTTTGAACAAAGATAAATCTTATGACCCAAAAATGTGCAGAGTAATTAACAAATTGCAATGGTAATTACTCAGCATCTCTGACTTTTATGGTGATTTATCAGCACAGTATAATACAGTGCTTAAAAAAATATGAGACTTAAGTGCAATTTCAACTCGACAGTATTCTGGGTTGCTTACTTAGCTACCACTACCATTTGTCACTTCCAAAGTAAATACCGGGACTACATTACTGTACCACATCTTTCATAATTGTTGTTTATCTCACTGATTATATGAAGCTTGTAAGGGAATAAAACCACAACTTTAATTTCCTTGTGCAATTCTGTACTGTTAAATGGTCTAGTATGATGCAAATGTAATTGTTACTATTAATGCTGCCTCCCTCCCCCCCCCTGTATTTTGCTAAGTGGCTTTTTTTCACTATATTGTATTGTCTAGTAGCCAGTCACAAACCCACACTAGAAAATTTACATTTAGGCATTAAAAAGATAAACAATACCACCATTTGATTTGGAGACGTTAAACAATACGTGTACACTGTACAGTACAGCTCCTCTATTTGTACAAGAAAATGTAAAAATAAGAGGTTTGGTACAGTACATGTTCTATTTTTATTAGTGTAAAGTACAAAAATCTGTCCTGTAGTTGGATATTGGAAACTTTATTGATGAAAGTAAAAAAAAAAAAAGTTGTAAGGTACAGTGAGTTCTGCTATAACGCGTATTTTGATAACGCGAATTTGCTCTAACGCGATTTATGAATTAGGAACGATATTTGTATAACGCGAACGCTTGTTTGCTATAACGCGATTTTTGCTTACTATTTCTCCAATTTTGTGGTACTGTATTAACTGTGAATATAGTAAAGAAGAATATCAACAAGAAGCGTTCTGGTGATAGAATTCCCGGTGATGATCATAAAAGAAAGGATATAACACTTGAAGAGAAGCTCGATTTTATCAACCTCAAAATCACCCTTCTCCCCCATCAAGTAAAGTGTTACATTTACTGTATGAATTCATTATTAGATATGAATGTAACATTTATTTAGACTGTGCTATCCTTTGTGTTAGGCTAACTACTAAATTTTTTCGATTTCGAGTAATCTGCACCTAAACCTATTTTCTCCATAAGCCCTGTTATTTCTATTACGCGATTTTCTATAACACGATATTTTACAAGAACACAATTATCGCGTTATAGCAGAACTACCTGTACAGTATTGTACAGTGCTGTAACTAAGGAACTGATACTGTACAGCTTTTTCCTTCATACTTTACAGGAAACTAATTTTACACTTCATTTTTCAGGATATTCTCGTGTACCCGTGTATGATGGAGAACGTACAAATATTATTGCAGTTTTATTCATCAAGGATCTAGCGTTCATTGACCCAGATGATAACACACCTCTCAAGACACTGTGTCAGTTCTACCAGAATCCCTGCAACTTTGTTTTTGTTGACACTACATTGGATGTCATGTTTAAAGAATTTAAAGAAGGTTTGTTTTCTCATTTTCTACATCTAGTAATATTGTAATTTGATGATGTACAGGGACTTTCATTATTATTTTCACCATTGTTTTTAATTTTATGTATTGCAAGAGGTCAACACAATTTTTAGTCTTTTTCAACATTTGTGAGATCTTATTTTATTTACATTATGGCACATTTTTATATTTATTGTACAGTACAGTAAAGCCTCGAATAATGACGGTAATGTGTCCTCCAATATTGCAGTGTAAGGTGAATCATCGTATCTTTTGTGTGGCTTTATACAGTACCCTCTTTTCCCCCCAAAGCAATACAATTAATGAAAATTGCAAACAATATTCTTTAAATAATGTTTCTGAATGCACCTTGTATAATATAAATGAATAATAATATGGTCACACAAGAGGAGATGGGACGCCATTGTTTTCGTTTGTGTTTACAGCTGGGAATCCGGGACGATAGTTCTACACAAGAAAATTAAGAAAATAAGACCAGGCGCTCTTCATTTTTTTTAAAGTAATTTTTAATTTTTTTTTATAATACATATCAGGATTTAGTTATTATTTATATGGACATTTAATTTTATTTTATTTTTATTATATTTTGGTCGTAAATGTGAATGAAATAAGGAAATAATTTGAATTGGGTCCTAAATTAACTACTGTAGGATCTTAAATATGAAAAGTTGTTGGTCGAACCGTTGTTATCGGAGGCTTTACTAATGTTTTTATTAAAGAAAGTGTATTACAGTAGGGTCGGGATACATTGTGAGATAGGGTCCAACGATGTTCGCTATATACCGCATATACTCGTGTATAGTTAGAGTTTTTAAGACCAAATTTTTAGGCAAAAAATTGGGGGTCAACCTATGCATGGGTAATAGTTTCATTAGGTTGAATCCGTGCATGATGGGAAGGGCTAGGAGCAACTTTTAGCTTTAGACATGAAAAATATTTACCAGTTACTGCCAGTAAACAATGGAAACATAAAATATGTACTAATTAGTAATGAAAAGCTGTGCAGTGCCTTCAGCAGATGAAGCTCACCAACTTACAATAGGTTAACTTACCTTACAACGTGCTTTCAGTAGTCTATGTTGAAGTTGAACCTGATGACATCGTCATCCGAGTAAAAACTCGCACAATATTCATTGACTGTCCTTATGTTTTAGACTTTACCACCATTGGTGAATAGAATTTTAGTTTTACATTCGTAAATATTATTTAAAACATATATGAACAGTAAATAAGTGTTGCTTTCATATTCATATGTAGAGAAATGACGATATGTTTTCACTTGTACGCACTTACTGTTCATACATTGGAGTTCTCAATCGTCGCACCTTATTAACATTAAATAGCATTACTTAAAACATACATACAGGTATTAAATTTTTTTTTAAATTAAGTTTTTTACAGCTACAACCAGGGTCTTATTTTCTTCAGTTTCTTATGTAGAACCATCGCCACTCACGAAAACAATGCCATCTTGTCTCCTCGTGTGTGTTTTAATATTCTACTTACAGTATAGTCTCGATTTACGCTGTCAATTAAACCCGTGGAGGTCCGCGTAAAAAGAGGAACGCGTAAACGAAATAACAGAACATGGGATTAATTGAAGTAGAGACTGGGCCGACCCCCAGACTACACTTTTTCCGACACAATACGTCCGTTGTAGTAAAAAGAACATCTTAATTTTATGATGGTATGGACACACACATAATATATAAGATAAATATCAATAAGAGAATAATATACTGTACTGTACAGGTATAAGAGAAGTATCAAGGTTTTTAACACTTACGTCAGTAGAAGAGATGGCTAGGCACACGGGGATGGCGGCTGGTTCTGAGGCAGAGGGCAGATTAGTGGCCCTCAGGTGAATCACTTGTATCACTATCCACCACAGAGGTTAGCAGGGCCTCCCTGACAAACCCCTCAAAGTCCATATTGTCACTGTCACTATCACTGACTTGGGCTGTCTGTGGTTGTGGTGGGTTGCGGGCGAAGAACTCGGTAATGTTACGTTGACGGCTAGCATTGATGTGGTCGTGATACATCTGGATATACTGCTCCATAAATTGCAACAGAAGGTTATTGGAGACTTCGTATCGGTGATTCACTGGGTCTTTGGAAAGGATGAGCTTGAGTTTCTGGGCAAACTCGATGGCCTCCTTTACATCACCATGTGTTAACTTCTGTTCTTCTTGTTCTGCCATACCACCTCACCTCCTCACTGACGTCATCATCTTCCAACATCTCGTCGGCAGTCACCTCAGGTTGCCTGATTACCTCCAGGATGTCGTCGTTGGTGGTCTCGGAGAAGCCTGCAGCTCTAACACTCTGTGCAGCCTTTCTTGCAATGTCCAATGCCACAGTAACAGACTGAGCCTCTCCAGCCACCGCTTGACTCTGCCTCCCACCTGGGATACCCTGCAACACATGCCGCCACGCGTGACGAATCGTTGCCACAGACAGCTGCCCCCATGCCTCCACCAAGAAATCAACAGCTTTCTTCACGTTGAACATCTTCCAAAACTGTTTGACTCGCACTTCATGCTCTGCCAACTCTTGTTCTGGATCCTCGCTCTCGTTATCGGTGCCACTCAGAAGGTTCCGCAATTCATCCTTGGTGTTGGTCAAGTCGTTCAGGAGCCGAAACTTCTTTGCGGAGAAAGCAGCCTTGACGTTACATATCAACTCCTGATCCATGGGCTGGATTAACGACGTAGTGTGGGGGAGAAGGAAGACCACGTTTACATTGGGGTGACGATCCAACAGTAGGGGCGAGTGTCCTGGTTCATTGTCAAGGAGCAACAAAATGTTGAATGGCACATTATTTTGCGCGCAGAATTTCTTCACGTCAGGAACGAAACAGTCGTCAAACCAGGAGAGGGACAGACCAGTGAACATCCATGCCTTCCTTGAGGTTAGCCAGTGGACATTTAACTTGCTCATGTCCATGTTTTTGTAGGCTTGTGGGCTGTGTGGATCACAGACAACTTGAGCTTACAGGTGCCGGAGGCATTGGTGGTGAACAGGACGGTGATGCTCTCCTTCTGCAACTTCCAGCCCCTACACTTGCTGGCAGACTTGACTACGAATGTTTTGGAAGGTAATTTCTTCCAAAAGAGCCCGGATTCATCCATGTTGAACACCTGGTCGTCGGTGGACTGTCCTTCCTCCATAATTTCTCGTAAGAATGGAGGAAAATCCATCGCCGCAGCACGGTCAGCACTCACTCCTTCACCAACAATTTCAATGTTCGTGATCTTGTTACGACGTTTATAAACCCTTGCAGCCACCCAGCGGAAGCAGTGAAGGGTTTGGGCTCTGCAATTCCCATCTTTCGCGCCACTGATACGTACAGTTCTCTCGCATAGTCCTGCACTGCCCGAGTGTCGACCGCCATATTCCTTCTCACCTGACGAATCAAGTAGCTCACCAATAAATTCTCCGTCTTGAGCAGCACCTTATTCTGACAATACTTGACCCTCGAGGCACCTGCAGACTTTGTGATGCTCATGTGTTCTTTTATCTTGGCGGCATCCTTCTTGATGGTGAGGATCGTAGATTTGTTAACGCCATGCTGTCGCGCCAGATCGACCTGCCTCGTTCCTTTTTCTAACTTCTGAACGATTTTATATTTCACTTCGTAGCTTAAGGCGCGTCTCACCTTCTTGGGCTTGGGGCGGCTTGGTCCAGGTAATTCAAGATTTTTCTGGGGTGGTGGGGGTCCAGCAGATGCCATTGTTGAACAGATTAGCTGGCACAAGAGAGAACTGTATACGCGGAGACTGAGGACAATGAGACTGGCGCACCTAAGGTCAGCGACTTATTCCCTCTGGTGGCAGGGCACGTCATGTTACATTAGACCAATCACAGCTAGCAGCGGAGGGAATACGTGGGTGGTAAGGATGCGTGGCCCAATCACAGTCCGATACGTCATATGACATCAGCGATAACGTAAGAGCGACCTACTGCGCACCCTCCCCGCGCCGTTTCCCCCGTACGGTCAAGAATGTACATCGCACGTATATGTTGGCGTTCCCAATCCATCTCTTTTTTTTTTCCTTTGCCATTACATTCGCTTTCTTTCGTTGTTCAAAAGATGTTACCGTAATTGCTTTTCGAATGGCTTTCAGTTAAAAAACCTGTTATATTACAATAATATTCTATCCTAATTGACTTGAATAAATATTTGAATGGAAATATACAATATTTTTGCTGAAACTACCCGCGTTTCAGTGTAAAGTGCCGTAATAATAAATGGTAAACAATTTGCCTTCGGAGCTCGGTGTTTCAGGCACAGCGACCCTCAGTTTATAGGATGTAGAGTGTTTTTAGTGAAGGTTTTCTGAAATGAGTTTTATATGCCATAAAATATGGTGCTTTATTACCCTAATTTGTTGTTCCATTACCCTCAAAAACTTGGGTCGACCTATACACGAGGCATATCATAAATTAATGATTTCTTGGTCAAAAAATCAAGGTCAACCTATACACAAGGTAGAATTATAGACGAGTATATACGGTACTAAATCGCGATATGTAATTACATGTAATCAGTGGAGAAAATAGGGGTTAGGTTCTGGAGGCCCAAAAAAGTGACTAAACTTGACTTAACGAGTTCATTTTCTTACTAACTAAAGCACCAATGAACACTAGACTCAGGAACAACAGGCTATTTCAATATCAATATTAAGAAACACCAGACTTGGCAGCAGACGAACCATCCCAGGAACTCCAGACTCGGCAGCAGACGCACCATCCTGAGAACAAACACCACACTGCCACCCTCATTCGACAATCCTACACCTACATAAATGAACACCAAAAATATTAGTTACAGTATTAAATCTTTTCCATTAAACTTTCCATTATCTTCAATTCACTTTTCATGTCACTAGCAACCTATTTACACTCACCTTAGAAGTCGTAATCTGCAGCATTGTCTGCTGCTTTCTCGTCACTCACTTAGAAAGACTGAGCGGACAAGGCTGAATGCGTGAGTGAGTAGCCATGGTGGAGCCTCTGGTGAGCAAATAACGCATTTGTTTGCCATGGCGGTACATTTGAAATATTTCCTGCCCGATTTCCCTCGCAAAAAAAAAAAATAAATAAAAAAATAAATATCGCTATACAGTATACTGTATATAAAAATTTCAATAATTTTGGTAGTAGCGATATAAAAAAATCTTTATATAAAGTTGCGATATATCCCAACCCTACTGTACTGTACTGTATAGTATACTCCCAATAAACTGCCTTTTTTTGAGAATGGCATGCCCTTGGTCCTGAGGATTCTATATGCTAAATAGTTCACTGTGTATCTGTACAGTACATCAAAGAAAAGTTTTCCAAATTTTTCATTCTGTTTTTTTTTCTCCTCAGGTGCAAAAGGTCATATGGCCTTTGTTCATCAAGTTAACAATGAAGGCGAATGTGATCCATTTTATGAAGTGTTGGGCCTTGTTACTCTGGAGGATGTGATTGAAGAGCTCATTCAGGAAGAAATTGTGGATGAAACAGATGTGTTCAGTAAGTTTCAGTCTTAAAAGTTTTACACAATACCCCAGAATTTACAATTGTAAATATTTATGTTTAAATAGGGAGAATTAATTAATAGTTTGAAATTATCTTTCTAGCATAGTTAAATATGCAAGATTAGGATGATATTGGGTGTATAGCAACTGTTTCATGCATGTTGTGTGTAAATGTTTTTATAAACCTTCCTGCTAGTTTATTTAGACTTTCTTGTACAAGTTCACAACTGGACTTATGTAAATACAGTACAGTAATTGTAGAAAAAAGTGGTGAATAGAAGTAACATGGAGGAACAGTAAAGAAGATAGATATTGCTCTGACATCGTCTTAAGCTGTTAGCAGGAAATTTATCTGTCTGTAAGGTCACACAAGATCCACAACTACAGGTCACTGCTCTATTTTTTATGACCTTGTGATGAAATTTGATACTCTTGTGATTACTGTATAAGGTATTGTTGGTTTTTAAAGATAAGGCTTGGTTGCTTTCTCTGTATTTTGTCTTAAAATTATTATTTGTACATTATAAGAAAGCCTTTATATTTTCTCAGGTGTACCATATAACCAGCTCTTTCACCCTTTTATTTCTTTTTTTTTACATACATTGTTTAGTTTTGTATGTAAAGGTAAATAAAATTAGTATGTTATGTCATCAGCATTGAATGAATATCATATGCTTAGAAAAAAATTCAATACAGTATAGTCTGCATTTATGAGGTCAATTGAACCCGTGGAGGTCCGCATAAAACGAGAAATGCGTAAACGAAATAACAGAACATATGGGATTAATTGAAATAGAGACAGGGCCGACCCCCAAACTACACTTTTTCTGACACAATACGTACGTTGTAATATAAATAACATCTAAATTTGATGATGGTATGCACACACAATTAATATTTAAGAGAAATATCAATAATATTAGGTTTTTTAACACTTACGTTAGTAGAAAAGATGGCTGGGCACACGGGGATGGGGAGTTGGTTCCGAGGCAGAGGGCAGATTATTGGCCCTCACCTGTATCACTTGTATCAATTGTATCACTATCCACCACAGAGGCTTGCAGGGCCTCTTTGTCAAACCCCTCAATGTCCATATCCTCACTATCACTATCACTGACTTGGGCCGGCTGTGGTGGGTGGCGGGTGAAGAACTCGGTAATGTTTTGATGACTGGGTGACCTTGTGCGCACCCTGCCCGTGCTTCTTCCTGCGTAAATGATGAAATTTACCGCTTAATTAAAACATTTCATTCTGGCAAGGCACCGCGTAAATGACCAAACGCGTAAACAAAATCCGAGTAAATCCAGTCTATACTGTACAGAAAAAAAAAATGCAAGTTAAATTCTGGAATTCTTTCAGCTGATAATCGCTCCAGGCGTCGTCGTCAACACGTTGGTCGACCTGACTTTGCAGAGTTCTCCCAACCAGGCAACCAGACAAATCACAAGCGTGCGCCCATCTCCCCCCAGTTGCAGGTAGCAGCTTTGCAGTATCTTCGTACATGTAAGTTGTCTTAAGTGGTTCAGAAATATTTTGCCATTATAAGTAATTTATGCAGTTAACAGAAATATTATTGAGAAAATAGCAAATACTGTATAAAGATAACTGATAGAGCAACAATGTAGATGAAGAGAATAAGTACTGTACAGCAAAATCCAAGAAATTTGACGAAGGAAAATTTGAATATAGGAGGAGAAGGAGAACTTTCTTCAGTGTTAGATTAGAAAGGAACAGAAAGCAAGGTGGGTTTATCAGTTAATAGTTTAAATTTCCAAATGGCAGGAAATATAAAACATAATGAGCATCTGCCACTGTTCAGAAATTACAAACTACTTTATAGATTTTTTCTGTCTGTTCATTTTCGTTTTGTCATTTTGAAACTATTTTGAAATCAATCACCCAATAACAACATGGATCAAACATTACCTACTATCTATTCTCTTACCACTTAACATCCACCAAAGGGTTCATTATGTGATGCTTTTTTGGTACATAAACTTGAGATTGATTGAAGGATCAATTTGCCTTCCTTCTTTATCTCTCCAGAATTTTATGGAATATGTATTTCACTCCTTGTGAATCACTGAACTAGATAAGGAATACAAATTTTTTAGTCGCTAACCACACACATTTCTAAATTGTCTAATCCAAATATTATGTACACTGTATGACTGTTATAGATAAATTGAGTACAATATTAGTCCTCTTGAGCAAGAAACTTAGATATACAGATTCATGAACTAAAATGCTGGACAAATTAGCACTGATACTATGCATTATGTAACATGCAACTAAAAGGTTTAAAATTTGACCTTTTTTGTTTTTTCACATTAGTTTGTAAATCTTGTAATCTGAAATTTTGGGGTCTGAATAATGCTTGTGGGTTTAAAATATTGATTATAAGGAGAGTGACAATAATATTATGACAGTAAAATAGATAGTAAGTTGTAGAAGCAGCAGTACAAAAATACAGACCGCCTCTTATTGATAATACAATTTAAAAAATATTTTGTGATTACTTCAAAGACCATTGTTGTGTTTCAGCTCTTGAACCATTTAAGGAAGGTCAGCTGTCAGAAATGATAGTCAAAAAGCTGCTAAATCAAGATGTCATTCACAGCATTAAGTTACGACACAAGGAACAGTCCAGGGTTGATCAGCAGCATACCTACTTATATACACAGGTGAGTGGCAATGTTAGGTTCTTTAATATTTGACTTTGTATACCGTAGTTCATAATTTTTTTATCATTCATTTTCTTAAAATTGGTTATAAAATTATTATGTACAGGTATGCTTGTTTTTTAAGAGAATTATTGTAGTTACTACATTAATGTGTAACCATTTTCAGTGTAATGCTGTATAGTGTAATAATTACTTATGGTTAGCTAGTGGAATGCATAATAAGTCAGGAAGAAAGAATAGATATTGCAGTTCTTATTGTAGCAAATGTCATAGTGTACTAGTCTTATTCTGAGCAATTGTGTGTACATTATTGCTTTAACGAAGTTCATTTTACTCATTTTTTCTGTACCGGTATGTCTGAATATGATGATCTCACTGGAATCCATTTAATTTTCAGGGGAAACCAGTTGATTTCTTTGTTCTCATACTGGAGGGTCATGTGGAGGTTACCATAGGAAAAGAGAACTTGTCATTTGAAAGTGGGCCGTTTACCTACTTTGGAATGGCAGCACTCTCTCAGGTCCAATCTATAGGTATGTATTTTATATTTTAAAGGTGGACTTTCAATTTTCATATTGTTTTTATTTTTAATAATTGTTATACTGTACATTGTTTAAAGGTTAGGTTTTTTCATTTACTGTTTTGTCATACTTTTCTTTTTCATTTATTTCTTCTAAGTTCCTATATCTGTTTCTCCTTTATGTACAGTTGCTGAGGCAATCCCACTTTTTGTCAAACTTTTTTATTTTATACTGAAAGTGAAAAGTAGCGTGTTTAAATGGTAAAGTCCATGTATGTTTAAGGCAAAATGTAACAAACACTCAATTCCAAGGTACAGTATTAGGTTATTTTTGGGCTAAAAGCAACTTTTTATTTGAAAAGTGAAAAATAATGTGTTAAGTGGTAAAGTCAGTGTGGGATGCGATGGCAAAGGATGTGTATTTGCATTCAGGAACATGACTGAAAATTTTTTAAAGAAGGAAAAGAATTTGTGTGTGGCATTTATGGATGTAGAAGGAGCACGTGGTAAATTTGTTAGAAAAGCATTTTGGGAGGTAATAAGTATGTATGGGATGAATGTGCAGTCGTTTAATCACAATCATTATACAGGTTGTACCTCTCTAGTCCGGCAACCTCGGGACCTGACCGGTGCTGGACCATGGAAATTGCCGGACCATGGAAATTCACCCTTTTCCTGGATAGATAGTGACTTGTGCTTATGCTTGGAAGCACCAGCACCACTTTCTCTGCATCATGGTCTCTTTGAAGACATATTGAAGGGTCGTATAGTAGCTTCTCAAATTTCGCGAGTTTTTAATTCTTAACGTATTTTATTGGAACACAAAAAAAAAATAAATAAAAATTTGACGGCAGAAACTTGAATTTCGACGGGTTTGATCGGCCCGCCAACGTGCAGACGACGTGCATAATCGTGTAAACAGCGTCATTTCTCTTATGTACAAAAGATTCATTATTGTTTATGACTGAATGTCTTTTTTATTGAATTAATGTTTATGTGTGCAAAATGAGCAATACAATTCATTAATAATACGTAGAATATTAAAACACACGAGGAAATGACACAGCATTGTTTTCGTTGATTACAAAACCAGTGACTGACTGGTTCTACATATAAAACTGAAGAAAATACGACCTTGGTTGTAGCTGTAGTAAAATTAATATGGTTGTTTTAAGTAATGTTATTTAATGTTAATAAATGGAACAATAGAAGGAGCTAACGATAATGGTAAAGAAAAAAGAGATCGCGTATGTAAGTGCGCATGCGCACACGTGAAAACATATCGTCATTACTTTACATAAGAATATGAAAGCAACACTTATTTACTGTTCATATATATTTTAATTAATGTTTCTGAATTTGTTTTTATTGAATTAATGTTTGTGTGTGCAAAATTAACAATACAATTTATTAATAATACGTGGAATCTTAAAACACACGAGAAGACGAGACGGCTGCCGGCATTGTTTATGTTAAAGCTTACAAAACCAGTGACTGATTGGTTCTACATATAAAACTGAAGAAAATAAGACCCTGATTTTAGCTGTAGTAAAATTAATGTAAACAAATTAATATGGTTGTTTGAAGTACATGTAATGTTATTTAATGCTAATAAATGGAACAATATAAGTAGCTAACCATTAATGGTAAAAAAAAAAGTGAGACTGCACGTATATAAGTGAGCACATGTGAAAACATATCGTCATTACTCTACATAAGAATATGAAAACAACACTTATTTACTGCTCATATATATTGAAGGGTTAAATGTTGTACTCTTTTTAGACAAGCAGAGAGAGAGAGAGAGAGAGAGAGAGAGCAGCCGAACTGCCGGATGTAAACAAACCTTAATTTCCCGCGACTTTTTTTTTTTTTTTTTAAGGGATTAGCCTACCCGGGCATAGGTCACTGACCCACATTGGGGCCTGAGGGGCAAAAATTTAATACTCCTGTAATAATAATAATAATTCAGAAAAAAAAAAAGTTGCCTATCTACCTATTGGACAAACTAAAATCGTTCCGGACCACTGGAGTTTCCGAACCACAGAATGCTGGACTAGAGAGGTACAACCTGTACTGTTTATAGAGAGAGAGCAAAGTAGTTGGTAGAGAATGTTGGACTCTTCAGTGATGCATAGTGTCACCATGTTTGTACAGTATTTTCATGGATGGGGTAGTAATAGAGGAGAAAGGTGGAGCACTGTTAAGGGGAACAAGTTTGGTAAATATGAACAAAACATAGAAATTAGAAATGAATCAACTGATCTTTGAAGATGATACTGACCAGTTTGACAATAAAAAAAAGTAAAAAGTTTTAGTGAACGGATTTGGAAGTGTCGATTGATATACCCTGTATAAGATCTCATTTCGATACTTTGCAATTAAACTTATATTTAAATAGCACCGACTGAACTTTCAGATTCCCTTAATACTTATTTGATCGAACTTGAGCTTATCAACTTTCCTTGAACTTGCATGCTGCCAACTGCAAAAAGAAATGTATTTGGTATTGTCGCTCACACAGTTAAAACTTGATATTAGATACAGTATCTTGTTAAACTTATTTTCAGGAGAATCCCCATCTGCATCCACTCAGCTCAGCAAAGGAAGCATGCTAGGGAGCGTTCAGTCTCTTGATTCCACAAAGTTCTCCTTCACACCTGATTATTCTGTTCGTGCTGTTACTGAGGTAAGAAGTTTGAATTGAGAAAAAACATGAACTACACTCAAAATGTCTAAATTTGGAAATAATCCCAAAGAACTCATAATCCAAACATAATCACATTTAGAGCATCAGTTGTGAATTACAAAATGGAAAGTTACTCGAGCAGTGTAAAAAATATAAATGGGATTGATGTACTAGGAGCACAGAAGACTATTAGTTAACTAGGAAAGCCCTGAGGAGAAGTCCATGTTTTCAGTATTATTCCCATGTACAGTATAAGGATTTGTAAGTGTTCAGCCAATACCTCCAACACCTGTGTCAAGCAGGAGTGTCCAGGTATAAATCTGTACTAGGATTCCTTCACAAGGTTGTTCTATTGTAGATGACCCATCATGGCATCAAATATACAGTAATGCTTTCTAGTACACATAGAACTTGCAGGTTAAGCTTACTGGCCTGTGATAATTCATGCAATGGTGATCACTCATTGTGAATACTGGACTCCCTTCTGCTAATTTCCACTTATTCAGGATCTTCTGTTTGTTTATACTTCTGCAGAACAAGGTACTAAAAGGATCTGTGAATTTGTTACAAATCTCTCTTAATACTCTAGGATGCAAACTATCAGGGTCAGGGCTTTTCTTTAAACTTGAGTTTTGATTATTTGGTTTGATATATAGTACTGTACAATATACTGTACATTCATGAGAACTTTATACTGTATATGTCAATGCTGTACTGATCTGACTTTCCTTAGATCAGTTTAGGTTATATGCATCCTCTGTTGTAAACACTGCAGTAAACAATTCATTTGATGCCTCTTTGTTTTGGTCTTAATCTGCATAACTTCCATCGTCAAGTTTCATTTCTAATACTGTACACCCATGCTTTTCCTTGTTTTTGATTCAGCAAAACAATAAGAAGCTTTGAGGTTTTCAATGGGCCTTGATTGTGGTCCTCCTCAGAAACTCTAACCTTTTGCACTCTAATGTAATTTACTTTGATCTGTACTGGTGTATATTTATCTGACCCACTGTTTAAGTCAAATGTTTTCTTTTTAATCAGTTTTATTAGTCTTATCTCCAGCTAATTATATTTAGGATAAGTAATTATTAATTGTTTGTATTTCTACAGGTTATGTACTTGAAGATTAGACGTTCACACTATATTGCTGCTCGTTGTGCATTCCTCCTAGAGCAAGCTCAGAAAGAACCACATGGAGAAGAACACTTTGAGAATGAGATTGCTAAAGTTAGTATTGCACAGTATTTGTGTTTATTTTGTAGACAATTGTTATTTTTATTTTTATTTTTTTTGACACCTTAAATGTGCATAGGTGGTCAGTAAAAAAAAACTCTTATAGAATACTTTTGTATTTTTGCCAAGGGTCTCCGTAGATTTACATATTTTTAGGAATTGGGCTTACAGTACAGTCACTATAATATGTAGTTTTCTGTTTCCTCACATCTGAAGTTCAAAAGAATTTACCTGTGTAATTTAGCGAGCCTTCAACAAAAGACATTACAGTATTGGAAACATTACCTCAAATTGGCATATGCAAGATAAGTAATAGTGTATTAGTCTTTTGGTGACTGATAAAAGTTTTGGAAGGAGATTTTATGGGACAGTTGTCCATGAGTGGCTGTGTGTAATACTACCTTGATTGACTGATGTTAGTCAGAAGTTGTATTGGTCTGTTTGTTTATTCTAAGAGATGTCCAACATATTATGAACATTTATTTATTAAACAGTATTTTGAAATGTAGTTAAGATGGCTAAATATAAAGGAATGAACACAACAAAAAGAATGGGATTTTGTGAATGAGTAATCCTAAACAAGGACAATGTGGGAAGAGAATGTTGTGGTTGAGTTGCCCTGAATAAGAAAGAAAAAAAATGGGGGGAGGGGGGACTTTTGCATGGAGAAATAAAACAATTGGAAATTTTGAAACATATTTTATAGATCCTTTGTTCTTTTCTCTTGTGGCAGATGCTCATTGAGGACGATGGATCAAGTTCACCAAACTGGGAGAACACCCAACTGTCAGGCCCTAACTCCAAGGTGAGATAATAAAAGGAGTTATTCTGTGACAAATGAACATAAAATGTCTTTTGACTTTCACTCTAGTGTGATGTCTTGTATTGATTCTTTTACCTGCCATGTATAAGGGTTTACATTACATAAATATAATTATTTATGAAACTACAGTACCTGTAATTTTATAAGTGTTTTGGGATGAAGAGCAGAATAGATTTTGCATGCTGGAAGGAACTCTTGGAGACTACTTGATTGAGGCTGACTAGTGTACATTACTTTAACTTACTAATATTCGTTACTGTTATTAATACCGGTGAACTGGTGCTAATTTTGGGTGCCTGAACACTTTTATTCCAAGATGAAATAAATCCCCGAAAATGTGAGCTTTAATCAGAGGGAGGTTGATTATTCAGATCAACAGTACTTTACAAATAATAAATTTTTTTCTGAATCACACAACTTCTTAGAGTGAAGCAGAGTGAGGGCAGATATGGTTAGGGGAGGGAAAGACAAGAGGAGAGGACAAGGCTGTGAATGCCAGTGTTCCAATAAGGACTATCTAGTTAGAAAACAATTATTTAGTAGGCCTATAATAAAGTCATAGTACATAGTTGGGTGGAATATCATATACTAGTCACGTTAATTTGTTTAAGGTGTAGAAGCTGTTAACAAGTCAGTAACCACACCCTAAGTAAACAAAATTTATGACCCAGTGTCAAGGAATAATCCAAGAAGACTGGACAACTCGCTAACTATGCTCGCTAACCATTACCCTGGAACACGAACCACAAATCAATTAATATTTAGGTTCCCAATTCTTGCTGGGTAGACAGGCAAATGATGTAAAGAAACTTGCCTAGAGTATTATTTGCATTTGGAAAGTGTGTTACAGTACATTTAATACTACAGTACAGTATTATTGATTCAATGAAAGTAAATCAAAGTGCTGTACAGTGACCCCTCGTTTAACGAACACCTCGGTTAACGTAATTTCGATTAACGAACTGCCTTCCATAAGGATCTTCAATTCGGTTAACGAAAACAAATTCGGTTAACGAAGTTCTTACGAACCGACCTCAACATGTTTTCGCTTGCACTGACCGGGCAACCAGCTTTAGTATCAGTCCGCCAATACATTAATCGGTTCTAGGGCTTAAATTCCTTACTATTTTTGTAAATATCAAGAAGTTTATACTATTCAATAATTTTAAAAGTTTAATATTCAATTTTTTAGTCATTTTAACAATTATTGAACATAATTGAAGGTAAAGTGACTAGTTTAATGCGCGGCATCCAGCCTCTTAACACAGCAAACAGGAGTTAGTCTCTCTCTGTTTTCACTGGAGGTAACATCTAGCTTGAGACTCTCTTCAACTAAATGCTTTTTTTCTGTGTTTCCAAGCAAATTATTGGTCATTTTGAAATATATTTTACATATTGACAATATGTAATGCAGTGCAGTGTTGATTTAAAGAAAATATCTTGAATTACACCAAGAGAGCTAAAATTTTATGGGTGAATTGGCACTATGGGGTGACTTCTCTTCCACCCCAATGCCTTCTCTTCTTCCTTCTCCTCCACCCCCATTCTAAATCCCATCATCATCATCATCATCCAGGAGCCTTCTACATACACACCTCAAAGTAAGTGAACTTTTCTACCATTTTTGTTGAATTTAGGAAATTTTCGGTGAGCTGGAACCAATTACCCAAAAACCCATTGAAACAATGGTTTCGGTTAACGAACGACCTTCTGGAACGGATTGAGTTCGTTAACGGAGGGGTCACTGTACTGTGTTTGAAATGTGTTTTGGGCAGTCTTTACCATACCACCTTCCTCTTCTGCCAATAGTTGCAGTCAGTTTATTATAAGAGCTGACTCATGTTGAATCATGCCTTTATTTCTTGTGTTGTACTTATTTATACCATATTGTGTTTACATTTTCTATTGCTGTGATAATCATTACATCACATTATAATTCTCTCTTGGAGTCTACATGTGTATAGGTACTGAATATTTTGGATAATATCATGTTTAATTTATGGTTTCATACCCTGGAAGGTGTGGGTGTGTAAGAGTTATGCATATTTTTTGCTACAATTTATTGGGCCATGGATTGGCAGATTGCAGATTGGGCAGGATATACCATATTCTTGTGAAGAATTATATATTTTTTCTTGTAATTACATTTTTATTAGCATATAATTTATCTGGTTACTGGATTCTCATTTTTTTTTCTTTAATTGTTGTCTGTCTTTGACTTTTGTTTATAAATTCAAATTAGTACAGGTATGTACCCAGAAGCACAGTGGTACCGGTATTATGTTATGACCTTGTTATTTGTTGACACCAGGTAACTTCAATTTCCCTGCATAGTCTTGGTTTCTTGATGCAAAATACCCATACAGGTGAAGTTAATTTTTTATAGTACTTACAGTTCCAGGGTTATCGGTGTAACATGCTTTTGAAGGGAGAAAGGTTTTATTTTGTCATGGTAGTATTGTTTTAACTAGGTGCAGTGAAACAACCTGTCCCTGATATAAAATCCATGGCCTAATTCTTAATTAATAATAATGTTTGAATAAGCAGCTAAGGTTCTTGGTCTTCTTCATATCTTCCGTAGTTGATAAATTTGGTTCAGGACTTCTTTTAGATTCTGGATGAAGGAACACATACAGTAATATATCCTAAACGTTTTGTGTGTACCTTTAGATAAATTAACCCAAGTAAACACTAGTGAATATAATTTCAGGTCAGCCACCTATGTCTATACCTTTGACATTATTCAGGGGCAGATCCAGAAATATCAAAGGGGGAGGGTCCAAGAAGTTGTGGGTGGGGGAACATGGCGAGCGCAGTGAGCCTACCCAGCTGGAAAGGGGGGGGGGGGTGCTGTAAGTGCCCCCACCCTCCCCAGAAACTTTTATGAAATCTGACCAATATCATCAGCATTTTGAGGCCATTTTGAAGCCATGTGCACTTGATATTAGGAGATATACTGAGGTCAATCATTATTACTTTTTACTATTCAAAAATACCTGAGTACAATACTACAAAAGAAAAGGTATTGGAATTTTCTGATGAAAAGGGGGGTCTGGACCTCCAGGACCCCCTTGGATCTGCCCCTGTTAATAATTTTTTTTTGTGTAGTTCCATGCGATATTTACTCCTATATGATGTACTAAATGGTACAGATTAATTATTAAAGTCAAGAAGGTCACCTGTGAATTTTAACTGCTTTTGAGATGAAGAGTTTTATTATCACTATCAATTTGGATATATGGTGTTAATACTGTAATTATTGCCCCTTGTTGACACACTCATCTTGTTTTTCAGTTGCAACAGTAGCTAGGTAGCTGCTTGCTGACCCCTAAAGCTATAATGTATCCCAAGGTATTGGAGAAGTGGTGGTTGGTGCCTAAAATGTTGGCCTTTTGCAATAGTAAATATTGTGCATTTGTGTGTGTGTGTGTACATGTGTGTATGTATGTATGTGTGTGTGTGTGTATGTGTGTGGGTGGGTGGGTTAAGTGCTTTGCCTTGTTGTATTTGCTGTTTCCATATTCATATACAAAGTAGAATATATTTTGTTGGTAACACAAGTAGATTGTTCTGTATGCTTTGCTTTGTCTCGTTTATCTTTATTGGCAGGCCGGTAAATGTTGTTAGCAGTAGTTTGTACAGTAAGAGGATTATAGTGTCTTGTTTACTGTGTTGGTATGAATATTTAACTTGGCTCTTTTGGCAGATTCATTATCATGAACATTTTACAGCCATATTCCACACTTGCATGAGTTTACTGTGAATACACCTGATGCAGCTCTCCAGGTTGCAAAGTATCTTGCAACAACTCTAGTCGGATTTTTTCCCCGAGATAATTTCTCACAACCTCTTCCCATGTCATTCTGTACCAACACTTAGGTCTCCTTCACTGCACATTCAAACTCGTGCACCTCTTGACCCAGTTGGTCTTTTTATTTCTCCACAAACCCAAACCATCTTAGCATACCTCTGCACTGAACCTCACCAATATTTTCCATACCCAGCCACCCTCTTAACTGCACTGGGTTTCTTATGTCATAATGTTGCATTACACATTCAGTTCACCATTCTCATTTCAGTTAGATTAAATTTATGTATGTCATCTTCTTTAATTGGCCAAGTTTAACTACCATACAACACATTTCTTATGTAGGATACATACAACTTTCTTTTTGAGTGAAAAGGTCCTTCTGATGTCAACAAAGGCAACAGCTCCTTAATCTTCTCCCAACCCCTTCTGACCCTTGCAACTGAGCTAGCTTTGGCATCACCTCCACCACTGATCACATCACCCAGGTAACAGAATTAATCGACACAGTCCAGAGATATATCCCCCAATGCAGACCTTTTACATCCTTGCTTGGGACACATGATTAAAAAAATATAGAGCATACTTGAAGTCTGCATCATACTACAGTGTGATTTACACTACTGCTCCTCTTTTATACCCTCATTCCCCACTCATTGTGCATTATTGAATTACAGCTAACACTGTTCTTATAAATAGCACATGGCCATTTTCCACTTTCCATTACAGGCCCTACATCCATGCCACTAATCATTACTTGTGTTTTTGACACATTCACGCTCATATCCTTTGATTCCATTCTATTTCTTAGATTTCACTTTTATCTCTTCAATACAATCTGCTGTCAACACTTAAGACCTCAGAGTAAAACAACTCCCAAGACAGATCAGTTCTAAAATCTCATGATAGTGCCTTTAGCACCATGATAAACAGAAGGCAGCTCAAGAAAGACCCCCGATGAACCTCCACTTTTACCTCTTATTCCTCGCACTCCACACGTTAACTTAAACCATGTTCACTGCTTCCTCTAACTTGACTTTTCTTTAGTTTTCAGTACAGTATTCCTTGTACCAGAGTTATTTCCCCAATAGACATCTCCATAACCTAATGTGTGTTCACCAGCATGACCATTTTAGGTCAGGTCCTTGATTTCCGAAGCTTTGGTTTGCAAAAA